GTCATCCACATACATAGACACACTGGCTTTACTCAAAGGCATGTCGTTATTAAAGATTGAAAAAAGTAAGGAGCCTAAACAGCACTCTGGGGAATTCCTGATTCTACCTGAATTTTGTTGAAGAGGCTTCCATTAAAGAACACCCTCTGTGTTCTGTTAGACAAGTAACTCTTTATCCACAACATAGCAGGGGGTGTAAAGCCATAACAAATAACTGTTTCCAGCAGCAGACTATGATCGATAATGTCAAAAGCCACACTGAACTCCCGAGTGGCGCAGTGGTCTAAGGCACTGCATCGCAGTGCTTGAGGCGTCACTACAGACCCAGGTTAGATCCCAGGCTGTGTCACAGCCGGCCGCGAACGAGAGACCCATGAGGCGGTGCACAATCGGCCCAGCTTCGTCCGGGTTAGGGGAGGGTTTGGCCGGGATGTCCTTGTCCCATCATGCTCTAGCGACTCCTGTGGCAGGCCGGGCGCATGCACGCTGAAACGGTCGCCAGTTGTAGTGTGTTTCCTCCGACACATTGGTGCGGCTGGCTTCTGGGTTAAGTGAGCAGTGTGTCAAGAAGCAGTGCGGCTTGTTAGTTTCGGAGGACGCATGGCTCTCGACCTTCGCCTCTCCCGAGTCCGTACGGGAGTTGCAGCGATGGGACAAGACTGTAACTGCCAATTGGGGTAAAAAGTTACCACAAAAAAAAACGCACTGAAGTCTAATAAAACAGCCACCACAAACGTTTTATCATCAATTTCTCTCAGCCAATCATCAGTCATTTTTTTAAGTGCTTGTTGAATGTCCTTCCCTATAACCGTGCTGAAAGTCTGTTGTCAATTTGTTTACTGTAAAATAGCATTGTATCTGGTCAAACACCATTTTTTCCAGACGTTTACTAAGGGTTGGTGTCAGGCTGATTGGTCAGCTATTTGAGCCAGTAAAGGGGGCTTTACTATTCTTGGGTAGTGGAATGACTTTTGCTTTGCTCCAGGCCTGAGGGCACACACTTTCTAGTAGACTTAAATTGAAGATATGGCAAATAGGAGTGGCAATATCGTCCGCTATTATTTTCCATCCAGATTGTCAGACACCGGTGGTTTGTCATTGTTGATAGACAACAGTAATTTTTTCACCTTTTCCACACTCACTTTACGAAATTCAAAAGTACAATGCTTGTCTTTCATAATTTGGTCAGATATACTTGGATGTGTAGTGTCAGCGTTTGTTGCTGGCATGTCATGCCTAAGTTTGCTAATCTTGCCAATGAAAAAGTCATTAAAGTAGTTGGCAATATCAGTGGGTTTTGTGATGAATGACCCATCTGATTCAATGAATGATGGCGTCGAGTTTGCCCTTTTTTCCAAAATGTCATTTAAGGTGCTCCAAAGCTTTTTACTATAATTCTTTATATCATTTATTTTTGTTTCATAGTGTTGTTTATTTTTATTTTTATTTAGTTTAGTCACATGATTTCTCAATTTGCAGTACGTTTGCCAATCGGTTGGGCTGCCAGACTTATTTGCCATAGCTTTTGCCTCCTCCCTCTCAACCATACCATTTTTCAATTCCTCATCAATCCAAGGGGATTTAACAGTGTTTATAGTCATTTTCTTAATGGGTGCAGACTTATAATAACTGGAATAAGCAATTTCATAAATGTGTCAAGTGCAGCGTCTGGTTGCTCCTCATTAGACACCACAGACCAGCAAATATTCTTTACATTATCAACATAAGAATCACTACAAAACTTATTGTATGACCTCTTATACACTATATTAGGCCCAGCCTTTGGAACTTTGGTTTTCCTAGATATGGCTACTATATTGTGATCACTACATCCTATGGATGTGGATACTGCTTTAAAACAAATTTCTGCAGCATTAGTAAAGATGTGATTAATACATGTTGATGATTTCATTCCTGTGCTATTTGTAACTACCCTGGTAGGTTGACTGACAACCTGAACCAGGTTGCAGGCACTGGTTACTGTTTGCATTTTTTTCTTGAGTGGGCAGCTTGATGAAAGCCAGTCAATATTTAAATCACCCAGAAAATATACTTCTCTGTTGATATCACATACATTATCAAGCATTTCACACATATTATCCAGATACTGACTGTTAGCACCTGGTGGTCTATAGCAGCTTCCCACAATAATGGGCTTTAGGTGAGGCAGATGAACCTGTAGCCATATTACTTCAACAGTATTTAACATGAGATCCTCTCTAAGCTTTACAGGAATGTGGTTCTGAATATACACTGCTCAAAAAAAATAAAGGGAACACTAAAATAACACATCCTAGATCTGAATGAATGAAATAATCTTATTAAATACTTTTTTCTTTACATAGTTGAATGTGCTGACAACAAAATCACACAAAAATGATCAATGGAAATCAAATTTATCAACCCATGGAGGTCTGGATTTGGAGTCACCCTCAAAATTAAAAGTGGAAAACCACACTACAGGCTAATCCAACTTTGATGTAATGTCCTTAAAACAAGTCAAAATGAGGCTCAGTAGTGTGTGTGGCCTCCACGTTCCTGTATGACCTCCCTACAACGCCTGGGCATGCTCCTGATGAGGTGGCGGATGGTCTCCTGAGGGATCTCCTCCCAGACCTGGACTAAAGCATCCGCCAACTCCTGGACAGTCTGTGGTGCAACATGGCGTTGGTGGATGGAGCGAGACATGATGTCCCAGATGTGCTCAATTGGATTCAGGTCTGGGGAACGGGCGGTCCAGTCCATAGCATCAATGCCTTCCTCTTGCAGGAACTGCTGACACACTCCAGCCACATGAGGTCTAGCATTGTCTTGCATTATGAGGAACCCAGGGCCAACCGCACCAGCATATGGTCTCACAAGGGGTCTGAGGATCTCATCTCGGTACCTAATGGCAGTCAGGCTACCTCTGGCGAGCACATGGAGGGCTGTGCGGCCCCCCAAAGAAATGCCACCCCACACCATGACTGACCCACCGCCAAACCGGTCATGCTGGAGGATGTTGCAGGCAGCAGAACGTTCTCCACGGCATCTCCAGACTCTGTCACGTCTGTCACATGTGCTCAGTGTGAACCTGCTTTCATCTGTGAAGAGCACAGGGCGCCAGTGGCGAATTTGCCAATCTTGGTGTTCTCTGGCAAATGCCAAACGTCCTGCACGGTGTTGGGCTGTAAGCACAACCCCCACCTGTGGACGTCGGGCCCTCATACCACCCTCATGGAGTCTGTTTCTGACCGTTTGAGCAGACACATGCACATTTGTGGCATGCTGGAGGTCATTTTGCAGGGCTCTGGCAGTGCTCCTCCTGCTCCTCCTTGCACAAAGGCGGAGGTAGCAGTCCTGCTGCTGGGTTGTTGCCCTCCTACGGCCTCCTCCACGTCTCCTGATGTACTGGCCTGTCTCCTGGTAGCGCCTCCATGCTCTGGACACTACGCTGACAGACACAGCAAACCTTCTTGCCACAGCTCGCATTGATGTGCCATCCTGGATGAGCTGCACTACCTGAGCCACTTGTGTGGGTTGTAGACTCCGTCTCATGCTACCACTAGAGTGAAAGCACCGCCAGCATTCAAAAGTGACCAAAACATCAGCCAGGAAGCATAGGAACTGAGAAGTGGTCTGTGGTCACCACCTGCAAAACCAGTTCTTTATTGGGGGTGTCTTGCTAATTGCCTATAATTTCCACCTGTTGTCTATTCCATTTGCACAACAGCATGTGAAATGTATTGTCAATCAGTGTTGCTTCCTAAGTGGACAGTTTGATTTCACAGAAGTGTGATTGACTTGGAGTTACATTGTGTTGTTTAAGTGTTCCCTTTATTTTTTTGAGCAGTGTAGATCGCAACACCGCCCCTGTTGGCATTTCTGTATCTTCGGTAGATGTTATAACCATGTATTGCTACCACTGTATCATCAAAGGTATTATCTAAGTGAGTTTCAGTGATAGAATATGAACATCATCTGTTACAAGCAAGTTATTGACTTCATGAACCTTGTTTCTTAGGCTATATATGTTAATATGGGCTATTTTCTTGCACTTTCTGAGTTGCTTGATAATTTTTTTTGAATGCTTTACTGGGAAGCTTATCAGAAGTAGACTTGCTCATGTTATTTATATTGGAGCTGATAGTGCATAGTTAGCTGCACAGTGGACTTCCTACTAGGGCACACCTCCTCAGTGCTAACAGTGTAACTCTGGTTCATAGGCACATGATTACTGCATACAATAGCTGTAGGATCAACAGAGGTATTCAGGGCAGTTGGGGGACATTAATTAAGTGACTTACATTGTGTCTGCCAACACCACTGGGATATTGTACATTTGATTCAGCATTATGACGACTCATCTTGACATTGGTAGGGATTAACTGAGCTGATATTGGGTCATTGATAAGTCATTGTCTCAATGCAGCCTTGAAATACATGGACAGAGTCCAGGAGCCAAGATGATTTGGATGGACTCCGTCATTCCTGTAGAGTATCTTCTGTTTCCAGAAGGTGTCAAAGTTTTCTATAAAGGTGATTCCAACAGAGCTACAGTAATCTTTTAGCCAGATATGTCATGCCAGTAGCCTGCTGAATCGTTCACACCCGCGGCTCAACGATGGTACCGGACCTGAAATGATTGGCCGCTTTTTGGAATATTTTAATGCTAGAATCAGTTCTTTAAAATCAATTTTCAAAAGTTCAGAGCTAGCCCTCCTGATGTCGTTTGACCCCACATGGACTATGACAGCGTCAGCTCCCGGCATCTGTCGTAGAACAGTTGGAAGCAGCCTTGTAATGTCCTGTACTCGTGCTCCTGGGTAGCACAGGGTTTTTGCACTGGGAACAGAGATGTTTCTCACCATTGACCTGCCGATGATGACAGCTGGTGAAACAGCCGGGGAGGTCCAGCCGTTCTTTGGTTTAGAAGACCCCTCGAGGACCGAAGGGCGGTGGGGCCTGATGGACCCGAGCCAGCTGTAGTATCCATCGTGGATGATGAATGGGCCGATCTCTCAGGCAGCCTCATGGTCTGATGAGGGTGAGAGCTCTGAGGATCTGAACCCATGGTAGAAGCCACCGGAGAGGGAGACAGAACAGAGGACGAAGGCGCAGGTACCTCCGGATCCAATCTCGAATCGGAAGCCCCTAAGGAAGAAGGTGCCGTAACCTCTGGATCCGTGTCCAGTCCGGGTTTAACATCTCCAAGGAGGCCCCCGTTGCCAGAGGACACTTTCTTCGACTTCCACGGCGAGTAACATATCTCCATGGCTGGTTCATTGGGTTGAGAACATGAACATCCCCAAGTCATCCAGGAGCATCCTACTAGCTCCGTTCTCCAGGGAAGGGGGAGACCCCTTCGGGAAGGGATCCCTGCAGAGTGCCGGCCAGTCGGCTGTGGAGATCCTCCACGGCGGCGACACTTACACTAGACCAGAGCGGCGTCCGGCTACTGGGGTAGAAGAAAAAGAAGGCGGGCGTGGATTCCCCAGTAGCTTGTGTAGGTTCACTACTTGTTTGCTAAGAGTAGCCACTTCACCCCAGTAGTCCTCTGCAAGCTAACATTTTACATTTTAGTCATTTAGCAGATGCTCTTATCCAGAGCGACTTACAGTTAGTGCATACATTTTTAATTTTTATACTGGAATCGAACCCACAACCCTGGCGTTGCAAACGCCATGCTCTACCAACTGAGCTACATCCCTGCCGGCCATTCCCTCCCCTACCCTGGACGACGCTGGGCCAATTGTGCGCCGCCCCATGAGTCTCCCGGTCGCGGCCGGCTACGACAGAGCCTGGATTCGAACCAGGATCTCTAGTGGCACAGCTAGCACTGCGATGCAGTGCCTTAGACCACTGCTACATTGAAAGTCCGGGCGGTCCATATTGTCCTGGAATAAAGCAAAGTAAACACAGCTCCTGCAGCGTTGAAAATGGGGCTGTGCATTATCATGCTGAAACATGAGGTGATGATGACGGATGAATGGCACGACAATGGGCCTCAGGCTCTCGTCACGGTATCTCTGTGCATTCAAATTGCCATTAATAAAATGCAATTGTGTTTGTTGTCCGTAGCTTATGCCTGCCCATACCGTAACCACACCACCACCATGGGGCACTCTGTTCACAACGTTGACATCAGCAAACCGCTCGCCCACACAACACCATACAAGTGGTCTGCGGTTGTGAGGCCAATTGGACGTACTGCCAAACTCTCTAAAATGATGTTGGAGGTGGCTTATGGTAGAGAAATGAACATGAAATTCTCTGGCAACAGCTGTGGTTGACATTCCTGCAGTCAGCATGCCAATTACATGCTCCATCAAAACTTGAGGCATCAGTGGCATTGTGTTGTGTGACAAAACTGCACATTTTAGAGTGGACTTTTATTGTCCCCAGCACAAGGTGCACCTGTGTTAATCAGCTTCTTGATATGCCACACCTGTCAGGTGGATGGATTGTCTTGGCAAATGAGAAATGCTCACTAACAGGGATGTAAATAAATTTGTGCACAAAATTTGAAAGAAATAAGCATTTTGGGCATATGGAAAATGTATTTTATTTCAGTTCATGAAACATTGGACCAACACTTTGCATGTTGCATTTATATTTTTGTTCAGTATACTTTCACTGCTTTTGGTAAGCTAAGTAGGTCATTTGAGACCCACTGCTGTGCTTTAGCAGTCTTTTCCACTGACCTGCTTAGGCAGCGGAGTCTGCGTGTGTGTCCTTTAGTGTGCATGCTTTTGTGTGTGTGTCGTGTCTGTGTTTGTGTGTGTATGTGTGTGCTTGAGTGTGCAGTGTCTGCATAGTGAATCAGGCTGAGATCTGCTTTTACCTCCACGCCATCATAGTCCTCGTCGAACAGAGTGCAGTACTGCGGCAGACCCAGCTGACAGAGCCACTTGGAGATGGCTAGGTGCTTCATGCTGCCAGCCTACCATAAGGCCAGCCTCTCCCTCCCCTGGGGCCTGGGGCTTCTGTCACCTGAGAGGACCAGGCACAGCATCACCATTATTACCCACTCAGGATGGCTGCTACATCTGTTTGTGGTGATCAAAACCACATTAAAGGAACCAACAGCAGATGATGTCATCAGCTTTCATTTTTACTCAGCATAATGGGGGATTTACAGTGAAGCAGTATTAGGCCTACTACACCCTGCCATCAACAAATCATTTAGCTGTCACTTCACACACTTTGCTCATATGATAAAATAGCTTTCCTCAATGTTCAGAATGTTCAGAATGGTTAGAAATGTGTGAAAAAACAGAAATAAGAGTTTAATAAGATACTTATCAAACATAATCTAAAACATTGTCATCAGTTTCTACTATTTTTTTCCCCGTAATACTGGGTAAAAACAGGGATTACGTGTTAAACAATATAACTTTAATAACTTGGCAAAGAACTTCTTCAATGATGAGAGATGGCCATTGGAGAGAGGCCATTATAGTTATTACTTGGGCCTTGCCAGCTAGGTAAAGACCAGGCTGGTCACCTCTCAGGCAGAGAAGTGCTTTGTCAAGTGTTCTCTATGCCAGCTGAAGTGTCCTCTTCCCACCGCTCAGCTCAGCCCAGACACACTCCATCACAGCCAGGCTCACTCTGACTGACCAATGGCTTTCAGCTCCTCTACAGCTGCACCACAGCAACACTAAATGAGAGGTGGCAGGTATATCAAGTTGGACAAGAGACAACTTTAGCTTAAAGCACTGCCAGTCTTTATTTTATATTCTTCATTTTGTAGCTGTATCATTGCTTGATGAGAATTGTTGCTGTTACAGGAGGCACCATATTCAAATAGTTCCCTTGCTCTCCCCACTCCATCCTTAATTTTCCCAATGTAAACTTCTGCCAAACTCCTGCAGAGTGCAGCCCTCTCCAGACTACAATAGGTCCTCTCTCTACATACTCAAACAATGCTCTATAAAGTGGAGATGGAGGCTCATAGCATGGGTCATAAACCCTGAAAGGGACAATGAGGTGGTAAAGTTGTAGTTAGTTAATCCAACCTGCTGTGTGTTCCACCAGCTGAGTCCACTGACTGGGGTGGTGCTCCTGGGGTGAAGCAATCAGCAGAGTAAAACAGGGGCAGATTCATCCCCCATTCATCTCAAATCATGAATGTCAATGTCAGACAGAACACACAGTGAGATGCATTGCCTCTTCACACCCCTGGGGCTGGAATAGCTGAGTAGGCTCTTCCCTGGAATTGTTGACTCTGGGGAAGCATCCAATGGTGTCACACACTCACTCATTACCATCATTATGGTTGTGCTGTTTTACACAAACACACAGAAAATGGAGTTGGCTTTTAATACACAACCATGTCTGTTGGTACAATGCACCATGCCAAGCCATTAGGAAATGCCTGTTCAATATGTAATTTGTTTAACAATGCCATAAACGACTGTTTGCAGTTGCATAACACATACACAGGAAAACAGAATTTTGGATCAGTGGCTAAACAGAGGACAAGAATAAATAAATCGATGGCCAGTAATATAATTAGTAATGACATTGCTTATTCATCTACTATGGCAAAGTTACACCCTAACACCCACTGATACCCAACGACACCCAACCATAACTAATGAGGGACCACCATATGATTGACTCAGGTGTTAGAGCTATTGCCCTAGACATGACAGCCACATCAGAATGATCCAATTCCCTTAAGAGCCACTGAATGGTTAGTGCAGTAGGCTTCATCAGGTCCCCTCTGCTGCCTCAATCACGCTAAGTGATGTTTACATTTACATTTTAGTCATTTAGCAGGCGCTCTTATCCAGAGCGACTTACAGTAGTGAGTGCATACATTTTCTATGTTTTCGATGTTGCGCACCTACATACATGATGTCATGTGTCCCGAGGGTCCCCACCTGAGTGGCTTCCTATAGGAGTAATAAAGGCCTAATTCACACATTTTGTGGATATACATGTTTTAAAATATTTTTTATTTATTTAAATTCATCAGGGGGTGCAGCACCCCTACTTCCTGTGGCTATGCTTATAGACAAACTTTAAGACAGGCTTCTGTAGAGTTTGGAGGATTATTGAGTTCACATTCTCCTAGCACTTTAAAATCTATACCCGTTCTGACAACATGCTTTGTCCAGTGTCCCTCGACTCCTTCCCTTCATGTCTTCAATGACTCACACCTGATGATGCAGTGTATTGCGTCATGTACTGCTATATAGATGGGCAAGTGGCCACTATTTGATAGCTCATCATTGTTTGGTATTATTACCATGGAAGCCTGTTGCCAGCCGCTGCTCTACATCATCTGTTGTTGGGTGGACACACCAGTGGGGTGGATTTTATATGGCCCTCATTTCCTGAACTCCTTCCCTAGCCCTAAACATACACTGAGGCCCCAGTCCTAGCGCCTCAGTACAGGCCATTCATGTCCCTCCAGATGGTTCTATTCAGAGCTGGCCTAAATAGCCCTCCCAAAGCTGTCTGTGTGGGGATGTGTTGGAACACCTTACCATGGAGGCTACAAGTCTGACTCAGGACACCTATTGTTCTCAGCAGAAATGAAGCAGAAAATTCTGCTATGAGTCTTCTCTTCTCAGAGCTGGGGCCAAATCACACACAGCCAAACACACATATCCCTCCACTAGAATACTACAAATATTTAGAATAAACTCAGGTTTGATAATAAGTACAACAACAGCATGTCTTGACAGTATCATTGGATATGAAAATGATTTCGGATATCCAGCCATAACTCTATACAGACTAAATAAGTATCCCAGGTTAAGATTGGCATTTTTGCTGATCTGGAGAGATGAGAAGACGAAAATATGAAAATAATGAATCTCTTCAGAAATAATTGGTCTGTTCTGTTCAGTGGTCATAGCTCCAGATTCCTCAGGGCCAGATGTCTACTGTACTGTACTAGTGGAAGCCTGGGAGGCCGCTATGAACGGTACAATGCAGAGAAACAGCACCAGAGCACTGTTGATTAATGAAAACATCCTGCTTGCGTATGTGTGTGTGTGTGCACATGTGGATGGTGATTACCATGACAGCATTGAGTGTGTCAGATCAGAGTGTGCAGTCCACCACTGTACATCACTGGGGCCGAGCTCCCTGCCATACATGACCTCTATACCAGGCGGCGTCAGAGGAAGGCCCTTTTGCACTAACTCTTTTGACTCATCACATACGCTGCAGCTACTGTTTATTATCTATCCTGTTGCCTAGTCATTTCTCATAGTGTATTTATTCCTTGTGTTATTATTTTTCAATTATTTTTCCTCTTTTTCTCTCTGCATTGTTGGGAAGGGCCCGTAAGTAAGCATTTTACTGTTAGTCTACACCTGTTGTTCGTGACGCATGTGACAAATACAATTTGACTTGATTTGACCACTGAGATACAAATATTTCTTAGGCAACGTGGTGACAGACCTGGGATCAGATAAGGAATTCAATCAGCATTGATAGGAATTCCAATATTTACTCTCTATATCCACAACAGAGAAATGGTGCATGTATGTGTGAGTTTGTGTGTGCATGTGTGCGTTCTGCAGCTGTTCTTTGTGTCATTGAGAAAGGCATGCTAATCATTGTTGGTGGTTCAAAGGAACCTCTCTAGGGAAATATATTCTAATATTGGATAGAAACTGTATTGCCACACAGGATTCTTGCAGTCAAATTTATAGTCACATAGGTAATGTAACCTGGCACATTATACAGTATAGTGAATGCTTATAGCTCAATGTGCCAACTCTCAGCAACTGCTGATTTTGTTTCCTAAATGCTTAGTGAAAACCAGTTGGAAGTCATTATCTTTAATTGCAACTTTGTGCCAGATAAGACTGCATTCATCCGTGACAAGTCAATACTAAATAGTTTCATGACTTAGGAACAACCCATATCTACATACTGACTGGTGCAGGCCTAGGGCTCTATTTTCGGCTGGCGTTAAGCCAGCGCAATTGTCAAACGCACACTCATTTGCAATTTCAACATGTTAAAGCCCGGGCTCTTCTATTTTCAAACCCTAGACCCAGGATTCGTAATGTACCTGTTTTATATGAGCTCGCTTACGATGAGGTGGGAGCAGTGGCAATATCTGAGGTGTGTCCTTAAAAACGTGCACCAAAGTGCCCATTTCAGCATGCGCTGGTGGGGATATTTATGACCAACCAAAAGCCGATCTTAAGCCTCGTTCACATTACCCCATTAGTACTCCATTATGTTGCGCCAGATGTCTTGCATTTCAACCGAGACGTACACAATGGAGTGAAAACACAATGCCCTCTTGCGGTTGAAGGCTCCGTTGTGAGACAGACACCTGGTACTTAGAAATGTTTTGCGTTGTCTTCAGTCCAGCCAGAGTTGAAAAACAGAGAAGTTAAAAATATGTGGTTTTCCGTGATGGCTTTATGGGATAGCTAGCAACTTGTAAACAATTATCCAAGTGTCACGACCTGATCGAGGGAACTCTCGTTGGTTGGGTCAGGGTGTGAGTTTTCTGTTGAGATCTATGTTAGTGTATTTCTATGTAGTAGATCTAGGTTGTATTTCTATGTTTGGCCGGGTGTGATTCCCAATCAGAGACAGCTGTCGCTCGTTGTCTCTGATTGGGGATCATACTTAGGTAGCCTGGTTGCCTACCTTAGTTGTGGGATCTTGTTCCGTTTAGGCTTGTATGTGTATAGCCGGAGGACTTCACGTTATGTTGTTTCTTGTTTTGTTGTTTCTTGTTTTGTTGTATGTTTATTTAGTTAATAAACATGTACGCTTTTCACGCTGCACCTTGGTCTGACCCGTCTCTCAACGATCGTGACACCAAGTGAATACTATGTTAATAGCAATGTTAAATAATATACATTGGCTGTTAAGCCAATTATATTATACTGTATGACTGTTGCCTCCCGTTGAAGTTTATTGTGACGGTAATGGCGTTTGTTTTTGATGATAACGTTAATTGTTAGGTGGAGGTCGCTAGCTACAATGGTATCTTCAACCAAGCCTAGCTTTTAGCTAGCTGGTGAGCTG